TTCGCCAGAAGTGGCTTAGTCATGCTGGCCACATGACCCAGAAGCTGTAAGCCGACTCCCTCGGCCAGTAAAGCGAGATGAGCACCACAACCCCAGAATCGGCCACGACTGGACCTAATGGTCAGGGGTCTCTTTACCTTTATGTAGGAGAGGGGAACCCCAAGTTTCCCAATCAAAGTCCATAGGATTTGTTTTTTTCCAAGTTATGATCTGGATCCGGAGGCTGGATCTGGACCATCCTGGGTCAAGGGTGATCTGAACTGGGCTCCCATTTGGACTGGGGAGGCGCACAGTCCTATCATATTGGCGACTGGGAATCCTGCTGTTTTAACACGCCACACCTTATACAGCTGAGCTCTTAAAATCAGTGCCTGCAAAGAGCTCAGGCTCCACCGAGCCAAAGAGAGAAGTAATGCATGGGTTACAGCTGCACTTAAGTCTCTCGGGGGAAGAGGAATGCTGAAATTTAATAAAGGGCAATTCTTAGGCAGAAGGACTGCTGGAAGGGGAGCCGGTTCAGATGACAAAGCAAATCCAACTTAATTAGAAAAGAAAGTTAGGAACATTGAACCAGAGAAGCGCAGACGATTAAAACGGGCAATTCCCATTTGTACCTGTTGGGATCATAAACAATCAATTAGCAAGTTGCATGCTGAAACCTTTCGATTCTCAGCGCTTCCATCTCCAGCATCGCCAAGGCTGAATGTATCCCAAATTCCACCGGAATGCGTTAGCGAGTTTATGTCGAACGCCACCCATGCAGGAAACTTATTGGTTAGACCTTCAAGATCAAGAACATCCTTTTTCTATTATCAAGTAGAAACAGAGGACTGGTTCCAGCACATCACCTGTGGCACTTATCCCTTCTTGCATGTGCACTTCTGTGCATCTTTATTAAGCAGTTTGTCTCTGGGTATGTAGACAGCAGTATATTGCATAAAAGTGGGTAGCCCTGGTAAGTAATATTGGTGCAGATGGTGACAGCAGCCACGAAATTAAAAGACGCTTGCTTCTTGGGAGAAAAGCAATGACAAACCTAGACAGCATCTTAAAAAGCAGAGACATCACCTTGCCAACAAAGGTCCGTATAGTTAAAGCTGTGGTTTTCAGAGTAGTGATGTATGGAAGTGAGAGCTGGACCATAAAGAAGGCGGATCGCCGAAGAATTGATGCTTTTGAATTATGGTGTTGGAGGAGACTCTTGAGAGTCCCATGGACTGCAAGAAGATCAAACCTCTCCATTCTGAAGGAAATCAGCCCTGAGTGCTTACTGGAAGGACAGATCCTGAAGCTGAGGCTCCAATACAGGATGTAGCTCCATGGGTACAGAAGACTCTCCAAAACACAAGTCACTTGCAGTCCACCCTACCACGTCATTCTCCTGCATATGCAGACCAGGTCAACATAAACCTGTATCTTCAGTCTGTAATAAACAAAAATCTGCCCTCATTCCCTTATGGGGGACACAAGGGCCCTTATAGAATCCTTTGTAGGTTCTCCATCGGTCAGAGAAAATAACAGAGGCCAACCAGAGAATATTGAAAAGCAAAGCAGCTAGTAAGCCTGATCTTTACTGACTGTTGCAACAGGGTGCTCCCCTCACACACAGGAAAGGAGGCAGACCCGGAACAAAGGTGTGCCCGCCCTTATATAGACATTTTAAGTTGCCCACCCTGGTGTCCAAGACCACCCACCCCCAGATACATCATACCTACATTACAGAAAGGGCGGTCTACAACAGAAATCTGAGTGTGTTGTTTATCTCCTGTCTGGCAGGTTACCTGTTAATGGTCACTTGACTGGATTACCTGGGGAGCCTGGCCAGTCTTTTGTAATGATAAATACTTAGCTCCTGAGCCAGGTCACAGGCTCACCCTATTCATACACAGACATACCCTTAAGACAGGATTTGTGAACAAAAAGACAACGGGGAGGCTTTTCCATTTTCCTTCGACCTTGCAGAGAAATATTTGAGGTCAACTTGGGAGGGACAAAATGGTTTCAGGACTTTTTCTGTGGGGTTTCAGACATGTGGTTTATAGATGCAGTCATGAACATTTATTATATATATATATCTAAGACCTTAATTTTTTAATTTCAAGTCTACGTGTGGAAAGTGGCCTTGTTTGAGCCAGGCTCTCTCGGCCAGTTGAGCTCAAGCTACTGTCTCAAATGCAGGCTGTTGATCTCTGCTTATCTTCTCTCTCTCCTTGGCAACTCATTTTCCCAGGGGAGCAGGAGGAGTTCCCAGGGAAGCTGACCCAAGCAGAGACAATGAGCTTTCAAACAGAAACAAGGGAAGTGAAAATCAGCAACTGACTGCACAAATGCAGTTACCAGCGCCACTATTTCCAGCTTTCTTCGTCTCCAGCTGAACCCCAAAACTCTCAACAGCAGAGCCTGATTTGTAAGGAAACAATGTTGCCTGCATTTGCTTCCCACATGCGCCCAGCCACATTTAAATGCGCTTACCCCATCTGCACGTTAGCACTGATTCCTTGCATGTTTGTGTTGTAAACAAAAATTGCCCTTTTCCCTCATGGGGTATCCAAGAGCCCATATAGAGTCCTTACATAGGTTCCCTATTGGTAGGAGAGAATAACAGAGGCCAACCAGAGAATATTGAGAAGCAAAGCAGCTAGTAAGCTTGATCTTTATTGATCTGTTGCAACAGGGTGCTCCCCTCACACGCAGGAGAGAGGAGGGACCCAGAAAAATGGCGTGCAAGGCCTTATAAAGACTTTTGAAATTGCCACCCTGTAGATCAAGACCACCCCAGAAACATCATACATACATCACAGAAGGGGTGTAACCTAAGACCACCCCTCAGATACATCACACCTACATCACAGAAAAGGCGGTCTAAAACAGAAATTTGAATGTTGTTTTTCTCCTGTTGTTGTTTATCTCCTGTCTGGCAGGTTCCTTGATTGGATTGCCAATCTTTTGTAATGATAAATACTTAGTTCCTGGGCCAGGTCACAGGCTCACACCCTATTCATATCTTAAATGTGCCCTTAAGACAGGATTTGTGAGGAAGGAGACAATGGGGAGGTTTCCCACTTTGACCTTGCAGAGAAAACATTTGCTCAGTTTAGGAATCAAATTGGTTCCAGGTCGGTCTTCCTGTGCTGATCTATGTCCGTGCTTGGTTGGTACACTCATGAACATTACCATATATCTAAGACCATAAAATTCCTATCACATTTGAAACTGTTTTAAAATGCGTTGGGCAGAGGGGGGGGTTAGTGAGTCACTCTTGTTTTTTAATTTTTTCTTATGTATTTTGTTTTTTTATAATGCGGTTTTATGTTGCAAACTGCCATAAGACCTGCAGGTAGGGGGCAATATACAAATTTAATAAATAATAATAATTCCTGCTCACCTTCTTTGGTGGGCACCACTGTGGGCCACCATCCCCTCCACCCTCCAAGGCCCAAGAAAACCCCAAGGAGTTTCCAGAGCACCTGAGGAAGCCTCTGCGTGGAGTTTGCTACCTGGGAGATGGATTCTGACTGCTCACTGAATTGGCCAATCGCGAGTGGCCTTGGGGGTGGGCCTCCAGGGGCAGGCCTAGCACAGCACCCGGGTATATAGCCAATGATGGTGTCTTGCCTCTTATTCATGGTATTGGAAGGTTCAGATGGGGGGGTGCCTTGCCATGCAATGTGGAGGCAGCTGGTGGGTTGTCTGTCTGTCTGTCTGAGTAAAGATTTTTATTTTTTATGTGTGAGGATAGAGGGCTCATCCCCACTTCTGCTCATAGCTGTCAACTTACAGATTTGAAAATAAGGGACCAGGAGCCTCGAAAATAAGGGATCAGCAGCCAAAATAAGGGATTTTCCCAGCACAGGTATGTTCGACATCTGAGCCCCTCCGAGCCAAAGGCAGAAAGCCCAGCCAGCAGCCAAACGAAGCCTCAAGCGGTGGTTCCCACAGTGCAGAAACCCGGCAAAGGGGATGCAGCAAGGAAAACCACCGTCACCTCTCCACTGGGAAGTGCTGAGCAAAGGCGAGTCCCCAGGCAACGCGGCCGATTTGATCGGCACAAAGCATGCAAGCTCCACCCCCCAGTCATTCTTAGACTCCCTATTGGGTGAGCGACGCAGCCAAGCAACACAGTTGGAGCCTCCCTCCTCCCTGGCTGGCAGGGAGGGAGGGAGAGGAGCTGCTTCCTTTGAAACCCGGGAAATTTAAGGGACATCATCAATAAGGGACATCAGCGGGACACAGCGCTGGGATAAGGGAGTTTCCCACCAAATAAGGGACGGTTGACAGCTATGCTTCTGCTTGTCCTTTTCTGAAAAGCACAGGTCCAAGAGATTTTCTGCTTGCTTTCTAGGCATGGGTTTGAGTCATGGGCATAGCCAGGATTTATGTCAGTGGGGGCAGGACACCCCTCTGTCATCATCCGCTGTCTGGCTCTGTCTAGCAGATTCGGAATTAAATGTCTCACCAAATGTCTTCTTTCCAATTGCTTTCTTTGGACCCCAAGCACTCAGAAAAAGGTGTCAAAATCCTTTTACAAATTCTACTTTCAGTAGTTAATAGTTAAAGCTATGGTTTTCCCAGTAGTTATGTATGGAAGTGAGAGCTGGACCATAAAGAAGGCTGATCGCCGAAGAATTGATGCCTTTGAATTATGGTGCTGGAGGAGACTCTTGAGAGTCCCATGGACTGCAAGAAGATCAAACCTCTCCATTCTTAAGGAAATCAGCCCTGAGTGCTCACTGGAAGGACAGATCCTGAAGCTGAGGCTCCAATACTTTGGCCACCTCATGAGCAGAGAAGACTCCCTGGAAAAGACCCTGATGTTGGGAAAGATGGAGGGCACAAGGAGAAGGGGACGAGAGAGGACGAGATGGTTGGACAGTGTTCTCGAAGCTACCAGCATGAGTTTGACCAAACTGCGTGAGGCAGTGGAAGACAGGAGTGCCTGGCGTGCTCTGGTCCATGGGGTCACGAAGAGTCGGACACGACTAAATGACTAAACAACAACAGCTTTCAGTAGCTCAATTGTTAGAAGATGAGACTCTTAATCTCAGGGTTGCGGGTTTGAACCCCACATTGGGCAAGTCTCCTGAATTGCAGCAGGTTGGACTGGATGACCCTTGTGGTCCTTTTCAGCTCTACAATTTTATGATGTTTACTTTGTTATAGGTATTCTAAGATCTCATATATATAAATCATATGTTCATAAATGAACAAGGCAAACACATACCTAAGTATATAAACCACGTGTCTGAAATAGTAGAGGAGAGCAATCCTGAAACCATTTTGACTCTCCCAAATTGACCTCAAATATTCCTCTGCAGTTTGGATGGAAATGGGAAAAGCCTCCCCATTGTCTCTGTGCTCACAAATCCTGCCTTAAGGGCACATCTGTGTATGAATAGGGTGAGCCTGTGACCTGGATTCAGGAACTGAGTATTTACCATTACAAAAGACTAGCCAGGATGCCCAGGTAAAGGTAATCAGTGACCATTAACAGGTGTCCTGCCAGACAGGATTCTGCTGTAGACTGCCATATGTATGATGTTTTTGGGGGTAATCTTGAGCTATGCGGTGCGGGTGGCACTGTGGTCTAAACCACAGAGCCTAGAGCTTCCCCATCAGAAGGTTGGTGGTTCGAATCCCCACAACGGGGTGAGCTCCCATTGTTCGGTCCCAGCTCCTGCCCACCTAGCAGTTCAAAAGCATGCCAGTGCAAGTAGATAAATAGGTACTGCTTCGGCGGGAAGGTAAACGGCGTTTCCGTGCACTGCTCTGGTTCGCCAGAAGCGGCTTAGTCATGCTGGCCACATGACCCGGAAGCTGTATGCCGGCTCCCTCGGCCAGTAAAGCGAGATGAGCACTGCAACCCCAGAGTCGTCCGCGACTGGACCTAACAGTCAGGGGTCCCTTTACCTTTACCTTTACTTTGAGCTACAGGGTAAACAATTTCAACAGTCTATATAAGAACTTGCACACCAATGTTCAGGGTTCCTCCTTCCTCCTGTGTGGTGGGGGTGATCATCCTATTGCAGCAGTTTAATAAAGATTATGCTTACTAGCTGCTTTGCTTCTCAATATTCTCTGGTTGGCATTGGTTATTTTCTCCTACCGATAGAAAACCTACATAAGGACTCTATATGGGCTCTTGGGTACCCCGTAAGGGAAAAGGAGCATTTTTCTTATTTACCGTATTTTTCGCTCTTTAAGACGCACCAGACCACAAAATGCACTAAGTTTTTGGAGGAGGAAAACAAGAAAAAATAATATTCTGAATCTCAGAAGCCAGAACAGCAAGAGGGATCGCTGCGCAGTGAAAGCAGCAATCCCTCTTGCTGTTCTGGCTTCTGGGATAGCTGCGCAGCCTGCATTCGCTCCATAAGATGCACACACATTTCCCCTTACTTTTTAGGAGGGAAAAAGTGAGTCTTATAGAGCAAAAAATACGGTATTTGATTTGGGGGGGGCAGGTGTCCTGCCCTCCTGGCTACGCCCATGGTTTGAGCGGTTTCTGAATCGGAACAAAAGTCAATCGGCACAAAAACCTGACTGCTGTTTGTTCCAATTCAGCCGCAAACAGCGCGTTTCCCTGGAAGAATGTAGCAGGGCAAGCGGAAGCGTGGACAACCCAGTTACATACTGAATCCTAGGAGCAGCCTCCTTTGTCCTTCCCCTGTGACGTTCATGGTGACAGCAGGAAGCAAGTTTCCTTGTTGGAGTCAGCACCAAACCACCAACTGGAAGGGCAGAGCCCCAGACCTGATGATGATGCCACAACTTCCTGAGCGAGGGAACAGAACTCACAGGCCAAAAGCTCATCCTTACCTGCAATTGTGTATTCCCATCCTTCATCCCTATTTGCACTTCCATCACCAGGCACAGTGGGATACAGGAGCTCCAAAGTTCTTCGATGCTTGGCATCTCTGCAGCATAATCGGGGAAATGTTTCTCTTTGCCCAAACACCATGGAGGGCTGCTGCGAAAGCAGTATCAGGCTGGGCAGACCACTGGTCTGACCCGAGCACCATAAAGCCACTCTCAAAGGGAGGCTGCGTCTTTCCAACGTGCAATCCGGATTAAGAGTACTGCCACAAACCATAAAACAGCATCGTCTTGATATTTGTCCAGTCTTTGTCGTGTATCCTTGCTCAGAGGGACAGAGTTGAGATTCTGGGTGTCGTGCTTTTCATCATGAATGTGCCATAATTCTATGGGGTTTTCAGACTGTACAGGACTGGTGCCTTTGTAAGCCTTTCTGAAATGAACTGGAATTGTGCTAAAATTGTGTTGAGGGTCCATGAAACACCGTGTGTGTGTGTGTGTGTGTGTGTGTGTATAAGAGAGAGAGATGTCATTCATAGAGATGGAGTGAAAAGTAGTCTTAAAAATAATGCAGGTCAATCCTTGGGGTCCTTTTTTCTAAACGTGATTTTTTTTTTATTAAACCAACAGAAAATACATCATGCAGCAGGTATTTCTCATTATTATACAGCAAAACTGCCAGGCAGCAATTCCAGCTACATCGGGCAGGCAGGCTTTTGTGATGGTCTCCAGTTTTGCACAGTCACTAGAGTGTCGCACCATGAATTATTAAATCAATGCTTCATGGTAATACATAATTTCTTATCAATTATTCATGCTAATGTGCGTGTATTTTACTTAATTGTGTTATTGACGATCAAAAGTAATTTCCTGAAAATCCTCAAGGACAGAAAATTTAATCAACATAACTACTTTTCAGATGCAATGCTGTTAAGTATTCTTAATTTGCTCAACAGTTCACTTATTTATGTACCTTTCTGGAGGAAAAATGAGTTTAATCAAACCATTAGAATGAAGAGTTAGTGTATACAAGGGCCAAGTTCACCTGAGCAATCGGTAATTATGCCGAAATGAAATTGAGATTGCTTATATTTTTTTGCAAACCATTTTAATAGTGGAACTTTAGGAAATAAATTCTAAATGACTGGAATGGCTGTGAAAAGAGACACGGATTCCTCTTCTTCCTGGGATGTTTGTGTGTGTATGTGACTTTTTTTTTTTTTTGGCAGGAGAAACTGTTCTTGTTACTCTTCAGATAAATGCTTAAGAGCTGAAAGTGAAGAGATTTTGGTTGCATCCAAACCCCACAGGGGTGCTGCGATCTCCCCAGCTACAGTGGCTGCCCCCTTCTGCTTCTTATTCTCTGCTGGGATTCAAGTTTATCAAAAGGACAGGGGTAAATGTTATCAGCTGATCGTGTTAAAACAAAGAAAAGCCTTCCTGCATTGCTCATCAACCAGTCGAAAAAACAGAGCTCAAAATGAACCCCGATCCAGAAAGATGCTCTATACACAAGGCGTGAGCATCACGAACTATCTTTCTGACACAGTATAATTTACTTAAGCTGGGAGGTTGTGACTCTGCAAAGGTGTGGTCTTTGGAGAACCAAGCACTCCACTTTCCTGATCAGGGGGTGACAGCCTTGAGTTCTCAACAACTGCTTTATATGTCTGGGTCTGCTGCAATCCGAGACAAACTTACTAGAAGCAGCAGTTATCTGTTTTTGTTTCTTTCCATTTTTTAGTTTTCCAACCTGAAGTTCAGATCACTGCACTTGTGTTACCGGTTTGCAATTTGTTAAGTTAAAAAGTCACCACCACAAACATTCATCGGCATATTAGCACACGGTTGCTTTTTCCTATGACACATATTTTTGCAAGCCATCTCCCCAGACATTTGTGCATGTCATTTTCACTAATATCTTTTCCCCAATGTACCCACTTTTGTAACCATTTTTTGTTTGCTCTTTCTGAAACAATGCACAAACCGCAACAGAGCTATCCTTTGAAATTTGTACTTCTTGGAATTTTGCAAGACTGTTCTCCAAACAACTGGGAGTTGAATTCAGTAGGACTTATATTTTAGTACACTTGAATAGTATTGCACGCCTGAAATGATCTGATTCTTCTATTGTATGCCATCCGACTGGGGGTTTATCTGAAGGGCAAGGGTAGAAATACCTATGACAAATAAAAAATATTACTACTCTGTGCTCACGAATCAAACTCTTGGTTATGGACTGCTTCCAAAGTGTCTTCCTTCTGCTCTGTGGGATTACTGATGGTCTCAGGTCCTCAAATTCAACAGGATCTTGAGGCAGCGCCTGTGTGAAGTTACAGTTCTGCTACAATGAGGGGAAATGGAGGGGACATGTTCCAAAAAGGACCTCGGTTTGGCAAGGAGAGCAAACTTAGCAGGCAAAGCAGAAATCCCTTTCCAGGAAGGGATGGATCCAAAGATCCTATCCACCAAGCTCATTCAATGACAGAAGACCTATTTATCATCTCTAGATGTTGTAGTAGACCCTTCCGGTCATTTTCATTGCCCCCAAATCCTAGCTAAAAGTAGACATTAGAAAGAGAGGTTGTTATCTTCACCCATTCATATTTCTGCTAGAAACATATTCAGCGCTGATAGGAATGTCTGTGGCCTCCTGCGTCCCAAACTGAACATAGGGAACAGGATGAAGTGATGGTCCCATGGAGAGATGACTCAGATTCCTAGAACTTCAGCCCCAATGTTTTTGCAGGGAATTGTCACACTCCTTGGCTGTTGGCCCGGCTTCTCAGACCTGAATGGCCTTAGTCAAGGTGTTAGTGGCACCAACAAGTTGAAGGCCCCTCTGCAGTATGGGTGGCTGGCTCTCCTTCCTCCTACACATGTGTAGGATCACCTTCCTCCTACACATGTGTAGGATCACATTGTGGGCCAAGGGGCTGTTTGGTTGTGTGTGCATCATTACAATCTCCTGTAATCTGCGTTGAGGGCCATTCTCTCAAAAGGCGGCGCACAGACCTTCTAAATAAATAAACTAATAGATTAGCAATAAAATCCCTCGTGTAAGCTCAACAAGACTGACCTCTCTGTCCATATTGCTCTCCGGACCTCAGGGACTTCCTCTCGTCAGGCCTATGAAACAAGGCCTTTCTATACCCATCCGCTGTGAAACAACTAAGAGGTTGTTGTTCTTATTTAAATAGAAGGGGGCCTGTTATGCGATGCTGAGGGACCCCCATATCCCCTCCCCACCCCAATCTGGTGGAATCTAGACACCAGGCAAATAATGCCCTTTTGCGTCTCTCTCTCCTATTCCCATCAGGGCTCCTGGATCCAGTTCCACTGTAAGCAGAACTAACACCAGGCAGTACCTGGAGATTCAGCGAGAGCAATGGAGAACCTCAGTGAAATCCAGCGGGAATTGATGGTGGCAACAAAAGACAGGGCCAGAGAGAACCTAGAGCTTGCTGAAACTGTCAACAGATGAGCGAGTTTCCTTCCAGTTTCAAAATAAATCCAGACAGCCTCTAAAGGGTGGATCCCTCGGATTTGGTTTCTTGGGGTGCCGAGTTCATTACGAGGCGGCATGTGGGGCCTCAAACACTTTTCTCGCTTTCGTTCTGTTCCACAGCCACGGGCGGCTTGTTGTCCAAGGCATTCTCTGCGGCGGGCTTGGCCCCCGAGGGCGGAGTGGGGCTGCTGGAGGCCAGAAGGTTCGCCGACTGCAGCACAGCCTCCGAGTGCTCCCGGGCTTTCATGCGCAGGGCTGCCACGCTCGCCGTGCGATTACTCTGGCAGCCGTACGTGGGGAGGAAGGAGAGGCCCATGTGGTCGGGAACACAGCAAGAGCACAGCGGGCTACCTGCAGCGGGAGGAAAAACAAAACACCACCTGCCGTCGGTAAAAGACGGAGCCGTTTGCTGCTGCAATGCACTTCTACAAATATGCGCCAGGAGGATTTTCCAGGGGCCTGCCCACCTGTAGGCACCACGAATGAAGCTGGTGCAGACACTATTCAGGCTAGATCAGCAGTTCCAAAGCCACAGTACAGTGGTACCTCGGGTTAAGTACTTAATTCGTTCCGGAGGTCCGTTCTTAACCTGAAACTGTTCTTAACCTGAAGCACCACTTTAGCTAATGGGGCCTCCTGCTGCCGCTGTGCCACTGGAGCACGATTTCTGTTCTCATCCTGAAGCAAAGTTCTTAACCTGAAGCACTATTTCTGGGTTAGCGGAGTCTGTAACCTGAAGCGTATGTAACCTGAAGCATATGTAACCCGAGGTACCACTGTACAGTGGTCAAAAAGACTGTCGGAGTGGGCAGGCTGTATCACAATTTTTTCTCAGCAGAAAAGAAACTTGATTTATTTCAAGCAGTTACTTCTGAGTAAAATATACCAAAGCCAGTCAATTCTGTTTTATTGTGTAAAGGAAGAGCCCTTTGGGAGTGAATTAAATAATGTGGAGGCTAAGAAAGTGCTGTAACAAACATATCTCAGTATTCATCCACCTTTTTGTTCTGCTCTGAGGGGGTCCGCTTCCAAATCCAAAGTGTTGGTGGTCAACATCCTTCCTCTTATGGCTTAGCAACAGAATTAGGTGATTTGGCCCTGTGGATAGCTCAGTCAGTAGAGCACGAGACTCTTAATCTTAGCGTTGTGGGTTCGAGCCCCACGTTGGGCAAAAGATTCCTGCATTGCAGTGAATTAGACAAGATAATCCTCAGTGTCCCTTCCAGCTGTACAATTCTACGATTCTGAGCACCCTTAGCAACGATGCTGCCTACCACACGCTGAAGCATTACAGCTGCCTCCACATTTTGTGCTCTAACTTTCAGAAATGGCCAACTTGCTTTAAAAAAAGAAAGTTAAGAGTGCTTTGGGACTCAGTACATGCGTACCACCTGCACTCCTCTGTTGATGGTCCTGATCAGGGAGAAGAAGAAATGAAGAGTGGAAACGACTCAACACACCAAAATTCTAGAATTCAACAATGGCAATTCATTGTTTGTAGTCACTTTTCAATGGTATCCCCTCAGTTATCCATGTATTCTAGTAACTTAGAGGAGGCCTCAGCCACATGGCGCCCTAATTCCTCACATACTGTGCATATCTATAAATCCACCTTTGATTCGGCAAAGAAACAGCATTTCATCTTTATGGACAACTTCTTAAAGTCATTAAAAAAAATGTGTAGCTTAACCATATTGATCGAAAAGCCAGGCAACACTATGAACAATATGGAGGTAAAATTATAGGAACTGGGTTAGTCATATAGCCTTTGAGAAACAGTAGTAGACAAGGACATTATCATCTTACCTAATTTGTATCTTTTATAAAGACATGGGGCCAGAAACCCTTATTCTGCCTTCACAACTGCCTGTGGAAAGTACACAGCCAAAACAGCTATGAGTGAAAAGGGCTGTTTGTGGTTTCACTCCTCTTACTGCGAATGTAAAAACGACAGGGACTAGAATGCTCTTCCCATTTAAAAAGGTCCATCTTCTGCTTCCTGCCTCACGTTAGCAACTTTCACAAACGCAGAGGGCCTGTGAACAGCACAAGGGATGTTCAGACATAGCTTTAGTGTTGTTGTGTGTGAACGGGTGGAGTTGTGTCTAAAGATCACCCAGAGGAGTACAGTGTTAGAGGTCCAGACGGCCTCAGCTGTAAGTCGGGTATTTCGCATTGCTGGCCCCCTTGCTGTGAAATCCTCTTCTGGCAAGATTCGGCAGCTGCCTTCACTTTTGACTTCCAGGTATCTTTGAAGACCTTTTTCAGTCCACAGGCCTCTGCAGCTGTTTAATTTTTAATTTTTTGACCAGCCAGCTGCTTTAATGGCTATCTGTTATTGTTTTTAATGGTGCTTTATGTTTTAACGTTGCACACACTGCCTTGATATTTTACGATATAGTGGTACAGAAATACTTTTCTGCATAAATAAAATAACGGGAGGCACGCACGAAACAAGGACCTCCATGGAAGCTACCGCATGATGCCGTGATGGCTGCCAGCATGAATTTAAAAGGGAATTAAGACAAAATAATGAAGGGCAAAGCTATTTTCTATCTGCCCAGTCAGAGGCAATATGTCTCTGAATATTAGTTGCTGGGAATCACAAAAGGGGAGAAGCGGCACTAAAGTTCCATGACTGGGAGTGGCCGCTGAGACCATATAACATTGGGAGACCTGAATTGGCTCCCACTACATTTCCAAGCACAATTCAAAGTGTTGGTGCTGACCTTTAAAGCCCTAAATGGCATCGGCCCTGTATACCTGAAGGAGCGTCTCCACTCCCATCATTCAGCCCGGACACTGAGGTCCAGCGCCGAGGGCCTTCTGGTGGTTCCCTCCCTGCGAGAAGTGAGGTTACAGGGATCCAGGCAGAGGGCCTTCTCGGTAGTGGCGCCCGCCCTGTGGAACGCCCTCCCATCAGATTTCAAGGAAATAAACAACTACCTGACTTTTAGAAGACATCTGAAGGCAGCCCTGTTTAGGGAAGTTATTAATGTTTGATGTTTTATTGTGTTTTTAATATTCTGTTGGGAGCTGCCCAGAGTGGCTGGGGAGGCCTGGCCAGATGGACGGGGTATAATTAATAAATTTTATTATTATTATTATTATTATTATTATTTGCAGACTTCTGATAGGTTTCTGGTTTGCCACTGTGAGAACAGGATGCCGGACTAGATGGGTGTTTCAATCAGCGCTTGGGTTTTATTTTTGCTGTCTTATGACAGTTTCCCAGAGAGCCACTGAACATGGTTATAAAGAGAAGGCTCCATTTAGTCCCTAGAATAGTGGTTTTCAACCAGCATGCCCTGGCACCCTGGGGTGCCTTGAATGGTGGTCAGGGGTGCTGTGGGCAATACTGGCCTCTGTCCCTCTTTCCTTCTCTCCCTCCTCTGATGCCCTCTTTTCAGCAGGGGGCCGGTCCACTGTCCCTCAGACCTTGTGGGGGGCCGGACTACATTTTTTTGGGGGGGGGGAGAGAAATGAACGAATTCCTATGCCCCACTGATAACCCAGAGATGCATTTTAAATAAAAGCACACATTCTACTCATGTAAAAATATGCTGATTCCTGGACCATCTGCGGGCCGGATTTAGAAGGCGATTGGGCCGGATCTGGCCCCCGGGCCTTAGTTTGCCTACCCATGCTCTTGCGTCTCTGCCTCCCAAAGGCTTGCACGACTGTTTGTTGCAGCAGCCCTGGCTACAAGCTCCCCAGGCGAATGGGGCCTCTGGGGCTGGCCAGGGGTGCTGGTTGCCAGGAGCTGAGGCGGCCTTGGAGCAAGCAAGTGGGCAAGGAAGCCCAGCCAGCCGGTCCACCAGCCCTTGCTGTTGGGAATGGACAGACAAGTCCCAGGCCCCTGTGGGGCAATGTGAGGAGGCACCTCTCTTTGGGGGCAGCTCAGAGAGCAGGGGCAGCGGCAGCGGAGGACTCCCAAGGAGAGGGGAGAGGAGAGGAGACTGAGGGAACCCTCCACAAGGGAGGGTGTGTGAAAAAAAGGTGAGGGGCTGCCAGCTCTGCAGGCAAGGATGGCATAACTGGGCTCCTGAGCCCCACAAGGGTGCCACAGAAAGAAGGTAGATGGTCAAGGGATCTGTAGACTCTAGAAGAGATCTGCTCCTGTCATAGTGTGTGGAAGCCCAGCCTTAGCATCTGAACGGGGCCTTTGCTAAATTGTTTCAAGAAGCTGCTGTCTCCTGTATTCTAAATTAAAAACACACAATTAGTTCTCCATTAGGTTACAGCAAATTCTGCAAAATTGATCGGGAGCACCTACTGTTGCTATATTACATCATGCTTGAAAGGCTGAGCTCGGACATAAATACTTAATGTAATAAATACAGTCTGAAATATTTGATCCACTTGACAGTTTAATTGATCTGCTACAGAGAGACTGACAGGAAAAATTAAATTAATCCTGCCTCATCTCTGCCAAAAGCACATTTTAACTGAAAGTGGTACTTGAACTACAGATCGGTTCACAAGGGGATCCCTTTTTCCACTAGACACCGCTGGAGGAGAAGAGGTGCAGGGTGCGCTAAGAATCAGGGGTAGACAACCTAAGGCCCGTGGGCCACAAGCTGCCCATGGGGGTCATTTAACTGGCCCCCAAGCCACCCCCGAACCAAGCCGCCCACTTGGTGAGTCCCCACGCAGCGCGACACGGGGACTCGCTTCCACAGTGCTGGAAATCACATCTGCGCATGCTCAGACTCCGGAAATCTTGTCTGTGCAGACGCCAGAAATCGCGGCAGTGCACGCGATCTGGCCCATGCAGGGATCTCCGCTGGAGTGAACCAGCCCAGGCGAGGTAAACCTGGCCTGGATCTAAATTTTG